ACACACACACACACACACACACACACACACACACACACACACACCCCACCCACCTCACACAGCATGCACCACTGGTGGTAGAGGGAACCGGGGAGGCTGGTGGGGGCAAGATCAGCTCTGCTCTGAAAGCTGTTGGGTCCAGCTGCCAGTTTATGCATCCCCCTCTGTTATGGATTGAATTGTGTCCCCAAAAAATATCTGTCAACTTGGCTGAGTCATGGTTCCCAGTATTGTATGATTGTGCACCATTTTGTAATCTGATGTGATTTCTGTATGTATTGTAAACTATGTGTTGTAAACTATGATGTAATAAGATGGATTAGCGGCAGTTATACTGATGAGGTCTACAAGATTAAATAGTGTCTTAATCCAATCTCTTTTGAGATATAAAAGAGAGAAGCGAGCAGAGACACATGGGAACATCATACCACCAAGAAAGCAGTACCGGGAGCAGAGCACGTCATTTGGACTTGAGGTTCCTGCGCTGAGATGCTCCCAGACCAAGGGAAGACTGATGCATCACAAGGACCTTCCTCCAGAGCTGACAGAGAGAGGGGGCCTTCTCCTGGAGCTAATGCCCTGAATTTGGACTTGTAGCCTACTAGCCTATGAGAGAATAAATGTCTCTTTGTTAAAGCTGTCCACTTGTGGTATTTCTGTTATAGCAGCACTAGATGACTAAGACACCCTCCCCACCCACACCCCCAGTGTGGTAGACAGGGACCCTCCCAGTAGCTCCTGCCCTGCCCCTCAATGGCAGCTACTAGGCAGCTGCTGTCCCCTATCCTGCACCCCTCCAGGCCCACCTGCCCCAAAGGAGACAGGGTGTCTTCTGCTCTGGAGGAACGTGCTGCATTCCAGAATTTTGCCAGTGATGAGTCTGACTTGTCATTTAGGGTTAAATATGGGAAAGGGAACCAGCAAGCACATAGATCTACTCAGTGTCAGGCACTGTGGAAAGCAGGCATTTTTCACATACTTATTTTTCACAGAAAAGATCAATTTCCTCACTTTTAAAAAACCAAATTCAATTGGGTTCAGTCCCCACCTGCCTGCTGGTGACATATACAGTTTAGTTATTGTGTGAGGGGGCCCTTCCCAGGGCTCACTCACTGACGGCCCTCATCCCTGAGGGCCCCTCCCATGGTCCTTCCAGTGGTCAGCCTCATTTGCTGTGCTCTAGAGGACCGGGTCTTGGCCTCTTGTGGAAAGCCCCAAATGCTGTCCCTTCTCCCAGTCTCCAAGAAGCCCCTTCTCTCTCACTGAGTCTTTACAACAACCATGAGAAGAACACGTTATGGTTGTCTTATAGATGAAGGAACTGAGACACAGAGAGATTGAGTCACCCGTCCAAGGTCATACAGCTTGCAAGGACTGCAGCTGGGAACGGAGCCCAGATTAGTTCCAAGGTGACACAGATCATAGACTGGGAAAATCACAGCCTGGATGTTGGCAGACGCTGGTCTGTTTCACTGTTTACTTGTCCAGCAGCCTTGATTAAGTCAACTTCCTCATTGGCAAAATATTTATCTCAAAGGGTTGCTAGGGGATCAAATAAAATGACCCTGTAAAATGGCTTTAATAACTGTATCAAATGTTACAACAATATGGCATTTCCATTTAGATGTGGTTTAGGTTGAAGTGTTTTGATGGCCTTCCTGTCTCTCCTTGGTCAACTGACCTTCACGCACAGGCAGCATTCTGACTGAGCTCAGCCACTATGGAAGCCTGGAGACCTCAACGTTGCACTTGGCCTGGGGCCTCCTGCTTCAACACGGACCTTGACAGTAGAACATCCTGAAATTCCCATCTCAGAAACAGGCTCTGAGCTACTCTACACATGTCCTTCCCCAGAAGGATCTATTTTCTGTCTTTTCCACCCTGCTTTGTGCAGCTAATGACAGAGATGTGAAACTGAAGTGGGGAAGGAGCAGGGAAGAAGCACCATAACCTCTCTTTCCTCCCTCCCTCCAATCTCATGCCAGCACCTCCTATGGGCTGCACCCAATCTGCACCCTGCCAGCCAGAGAGCCAGGAGATACTGTCAGATGGTACCGGGTGAGGTAGACAGGCCAAGAGAGAATGTCCATTCTATGGACTGAATTATGTACCCCTAAAAGATATACTGAAATCCTAATCCTTGTACCTGCGAATGTGACCTTGTTCTGGGAAACTGAATTTTTCTTTTGTTGTCAGTTGGGTCAAATGATGTAATACTGGAGTAGGGTGGGTCTTAGTGCTAATTCCTTCTGAGCTGTGTCTTAATAGTCCTAATTCCCCCGAGTGACACACAGGAGGAAGAGAGACGCCATGGGACAATGGAGGCAGACACATCCATAAGCACCAAAAGAATGCTAAGGGTTGCCAGCTGCCACCAGAAACTAGGAGAGAAGCATAGAGCAGTTCCTCTCTCAAAGCCCTTAGAAGGAGCTGACACGGCCAAGACCCTGATTTGGACTTTTAACCTCCAGCACTGTGAGAAAATAAATTTCTGTTCTTTAAAGTTACTCACTTGTGGTATTTTGTTTTGGCAGCCCTAGAAAACTAAGAC